GAATGAGACCTTTCACCAATAATGAGCACAGAATTCCTCTTTTCCCTCCTTATTGCTCTCTATTCAGCTGACATCCCATGCATTCTTTTTTTTTTTTTTAATTCTCACCTGAGGATATGTTCATTAGAGAGAGAGGAAGGGAGAGACAGACAGAGAGAGAGAGAAGAGTGAGAGGAGATAGAGAAACAAGTATCAGTTGTCTCTAGTATGTGCCGGACTGGGGATTGAAACCTGCAACCTAGGTGTGTGCCCTAACCAGGAATGGAACCCACAACTCTTTTGCTGTATGGGACGACACTCTACCCAACTGAGCCACCCTGCCAGGATGACATCCTATGCATTCTTAAGACTTAGCTCGAGTGCCACCTCCTACATAAAGCCTTTGCCCATGTTGAAGTAGAAGTGATGTATCTCATGATACTTGCACACTTTGGATGTAGTTCCTGTGTGAGCGTCTGCCTCCTTCTCCCCTCCTGGATCACAGGGTTGTGTCTCCTTGACCTTTTCCCCTCTGCACCTAGCACAGTGCCTTAGTCCGTGCTCAGCAAATGTTTGCTGGAGGCAGTTCCAAAGATGCTTGGAGAGCTGATTATACCAGGGGAGTGACAGGATAGGCACCAAGAACATCACAATCCGCCCCTAGTGAGGAGCACACCTTCCCCGAGGTTACTGTTCAGAGCCTGGTGCTGTGCTCCCTGAGCAGGCGAGGAGAGAAGGTGTAGAGAACCTGCAAGCAAGGCTGCCAGGAGCCATTCTTAAAGAACCTGGTGTTGGAAATTTCAAAATTCGTTGATATGGTCATTATATGGGAAAAAATCAAAACTGTGTTCGACTTCCTCTTATTTTACAGCTTATGATTGTTCTTGTTTTGAATTACATATTGCAGGGCCTGGAGGGTGGGGTTGTTCATAATCTTTTCATCACGTCAACCTCTAAAACCTTTAACTGCTCCTCTGAGACCTTCTTCCAGCATCTCAAAACACTCACCTCAGGAAAAAAAAAAAAAAACAGTGGAGATTCTATTCTTTCTCAGTTCTGCCAATTTAGGCGTGATTTCAGAGAAATCTCTTAAGTCATTGTGTGCCTTGCTTCCTGCAGTAGGAGGGTGGAAAGAATAAACCATTTAGCACTTCATGACTGGTGAGAAATAGCTTGTGGTTAATGAATCAATGCAAAGGATTTTTCAGAAAATGTTTTCATTACTAATGTCCCATTTTCAATTGGTGAGCATAGAAAACCCAGGGCTGGTAAAGAAGCCAGCTCCGATGGGTCCCTCAATGGGGAGGGAGTCTACCACCCACCACACAAAGGTACTGCCACTTCCCCAGGACTAACCCGTGACCGATGCCCAGATGCATTTGTTGTGAATTACTCAGTGCTATCTGAATACTCGGTTGTTACAAATAACCCATTTATCCTCATCTCTTGGAATTATCCCAGGATGAATTTTCTTTTCGTTTTTAAAATAGTTCCATTATTTTGAACAAATACTGAGCAGCTTTCTAGATTTCTTTTGTCTAATGGATGCTAGTATGATTATTTTCTGTCACATAATTGGAGATACATTTTTGTGACTCCGGAAGCAAGGTTATCATCACTCCAAAGATGACGCACCAAGTTTAGAAGTCCAATTCAAAATGTCTCAACAATGCACTGCAAACTCATTTATTTAATAATCCTTTATTATGTGCCAAGAGCTCTGGGAATGGTGAGGGTGGGACATCCATATAAAATTCAGTCCTTGTCCTCCAGGAATCTAACTGTAATTACTATTTTGCTGAACACTGCCTACTTTTGTTGTTTTACTTAGTTCAAAATTCAGCACCAACAAGCAGTGTTATCATATGTTGTCTCAAAATGTCATCCTTTGGCAACATTTGAGCAGCACAAGGTGTGGGGCTGGAGAACATGCCTTCCCCTCTCCCCCCAGGAGATCCATAGCAAATAAAACCAAACGGAGCAGCCTGGGACTACTGGTCTTGAACTGTTGGTGACTTGACTTTTAAACTTCCCCAATAAACTATAGCATCTAAGCTCTTTCTTATTATTTAATTTGATTTTTGCAACAACCCACTAAGGCATTAAAATTAGGTGTGCTACCCCCACATTACAGAGGAAAAAAACTGATGTCCAGAGACATTAAGCCACTCACTAGAGGCCTAAGATTCCAATGGCACAGATGACTTAATCATTTCCACCAACGCCCCTTTGCCCCTTTTCATGATACAGGCAAAAAGCTTCACGTTTAGAAGGCATTTTCCAAAAATAACTTTTAACTTCTTGACTGCACTTTCAACTAAAATCTCTGGCTGTTTCTAACTTGGGCGTGGAGTTTCTGAATTTACACAAACAGATGAGGGAAGCCTCGCGCTTCGTGGTAGATACAAAGCTAAAGAGAGACAGAAAAGGTTTGTAAGGGCACTATTTACATAACAAAATAAGACAAGGGGAACCTGTCTGACACATCATTTTTCTCGAAGGTCAGACCCTGCTTGATTTGTTAACCACCAAAAACCTGAACCCAAGGTCATTCACTCAAAAAAGTTTGCCCAGTGAAAGAGCAAGTGGTTTCCACGAGTCTAAGATAGATGTGGACCTTCAGATAGGAAAGGAAGAATGGGAGCTGAAAGTAAAGAAGCAATAGCACACTTGAAAACTTCTGCAGTATTCCCAATTAGACAATGAATGAAAAAGCTCTAGCCTTATTCTTTTCATGCTCCTTTTCAGCTGATAGAGGGCCATTCAAATTGCAATATTCATTCCAAAGGCGACTGTCCATAGCTACCAATTATGAGTATGCCTTTATTGGCAAGACACAGCCCCCACAGATATGCTTGCCTGAAAGGGATTCATAAAATACCCTTTGCTATGAAAAAACTACCTGGTGCCCCCATCAGTGGTCTAGCCCCACTGAGATCACCAAGTCAGTGAGGAAACTTAAGTCCATTTTATTCACAGCTTAGATTTTTGTATCATTATATATAGGTGGTTAGAAATGATGATCCATAGAACACCATACACAATCAAAATGGAAAGAAAAGCAGTGCTCTTTTAGCATTACAGCAAGGAAATGCACATTTAAGGAAGAAACTTACATTAGCACAGATCCTTGGGTGACTGGGTATTAAAACATATGTGAACACGGAGACATGCCACTGTTCGGGGAGTCCCATAACATGAAAGGTGTGAGGAATAGCTGAATTTCCTGCTGGCTTTTTGCTTCTCCGTTTCTACCACTTAAAAGTTCAGGAGGCTAAATCTAGAATTATTTGAAAAGTGTCACATTTGGAAATTATTCAGTGTCTTACCATCTTACATACACTTTACCTGGGGTGAATTGCCCCTCTCCCCCACTTGTTACCAGGGACATTTGTTTAATCACAGAATCTTTTGCGAGAGATATTTGCTGCTTCTATGTATTCCCCACCTGAAGTCCCAATCCTTTGTCCCTGGACCAACCTTTCCATAGCAACCAGCTGTGATGTCAAAATTGAGAGGAGGAGGACAATTTAGAACGAAAAGAGAATATATCATCTCAGGCTAAAGTTTTCTGAGTTTTAAAACCATCACTCCACTCATCAAAATATTTTACCAGGAAAGCCCCAAGACAAAGCTGCGTTTCTTCGCCGTCCCAGCTGTGACATAACAGAGCATTTCAGCAGACATGTAGCGGCTGCATGCTGTGGGTTTGGGAAACAGTGGAGATTTTTATTTCGTTTCATTCTAATTCTGTGCCACTGATATCTGCCAGGAAAATACATTAAACATATTCCAGAAAGAGTTGATTTAGTAGATGAAAAATGTGTCTCCTGGGACCAGGAGAGGTACATGTTCGGTCTTACTATCAGTTTCCATAATAGGAACAATGTTTACATTTCCTCAGCCGGAGCGAGCGATGGAGCGGCGCCTGTAATGTATTATTCGTGTTCTTTCACTCTCCAGAGGCAGGAATTGAAGTATTTGAGGTTTTATTTTTTAGCGACCGCATCAAGCACTTAAGATCTGAGGATGGTGATGTATTCTCACTTGGCATTAAGTAATAAGAGCTTCAGTGTTTGCATTTGATTAGAGTTGCTCCGCTTGCTGGCTGATTAAGCAGGAACAGGGACAGCAACTTTCTTCAGAAACACCGACTCCTGGTTAATGTAGTGTAAGGTTACTGACGGGCGTGGTGACGTAATTTTTATTAAATGGAAGAGATTCGCTCTACTGAAGAATCTCACCGTGACCACAAACTCCGGCCATCGTCGTAAGACGTGACAGACACTTCCCAAACCCACTTCGGGGGCCCCAAATGGTCCCTCCTTTCCTAACCATCCTTTTAGTTCAAAAAAGGGAAGAGCTTACTTCAGATATTCAGCATATCTACCTGAATGTGCGTGTGCGTGGGGATTTCTGTTTGTTTGAAGGGATGATGCAAAATCAGCACACCTTTGTCATCTGTGAGCTTTAGCTATTTTCTTTCGCTGCAAATGACACACTTTCTTCCAGTTGCTTGAAAGAACAATATATGTAGTAGCTTCTCTCCAGATAGAGGCCCTCGTGCCCACCAGGAAGTCATCAGAAAAGACTGAAGTCTTGTGCAGTTTGTGCCTTTACCTGGGTGGCATGGCTGCCTCTTCCCCTGACTCAGAATAGCTCGCTTATCCTACTTCTACGAGGGGAAGACTGAGAAAAGATGAAGAGGGGGAAAGGGCTGAATTTTGGAAATGACAAAACTGCCATCTTCCATGGGGGGAAAGAGGGAGTCCTTGAGAGGAAGAAGCCTTTTCAGAACACAAAGAAGGCAACAAAGAAAGCCTATTTACGTACTTCACCGGGTGGGGTGGGGGCTGGGAGGCCTTGGGGAAGGATTAATTAGTTCATGTTTGACAAGCTGCGCCTGGAAGAGGAGTTGTGCTGAAGTGCTGTTGTCACTTATTCCCGTGATTCATTAGCAGGGTGACTGCCACACCGAAGCCTATGTCCTTTCTTAACCCCACGTGCTATGTCTGTTGCAGGAGTGATTCGCGAGAGTTACCTCAAGGGCCAGGACCAGCTCGTCCCCGTCACCCTCCTGGCCATCGCGGTCATCCTGGCCTTCGTCATGGGCGCCGTGTTCTCGGGCATCGTGGTCTACTGCGTGTGCGACCACCGGCGCAAGGACGGCTCCGCGGCGCAGCGCAAGGAGGAGCTCGGCCCCTCGCGCCGGGGCTCCATGAGCAGCGTCACCAAGCTCAGCGGCCTCTTCGGGGACCCCCAGGCCAAGGAGCCCAAGCCCCCCGAGGCCATCCTCACGCCGCTCATGCACAACGGCAAGCTGGCCGCGCCCGGCGGCGGCGGCACCACGGCCAAGATGCTCATCAAGGCGGACCAGCACCACCTAGACCTGGCGGCGCTGCCCACGCCCGAGTCCACGCCCACGCTGCAGCAGAAGCGCAGGCCGGGCCGCGGCAGCCGCGAGTGGGAGAGGAACCAGAACCTCATCAACGCCTGCACCAAGGACATGCCCCCCCTGGGCTCGCCCGTGATCCCCACGGACCTGCCCCTGCGCGCCTCCCCCAGCCACATCCCCAGCGTGGTGGTGCTGCCCATCGCGCAGCAGGCCTACCAGCACGAGTACGTGGACCAGCCCACCGTGAGCGAGGTGGCCCAGATGGCCCTGGAGGACCCGGCGGCCACCCTGGAGTACAAGACCATCAAGGACCACCTCGGCAGCAAGAGCCCCAACCACAGCCACGGGGTGAACCTGGTGGAGAACCTGGACAGCCTGCCCCCCAAGGTCCCCCAGCGGGAGGCCTCCCTGGGGCCCCCCGGGGGCGCTCCCCTGGGCAAGCGGCTGGAGATGCACCACTCCTCCTCCTACGGGCTTGACTATAAGAGGAGCTACCCCACGAACTCGCTCACCAGGAGCCACCAGGCCGCCACCCTCAAAAGAAACAATACTAACTCCTCCAACTCCTCGCACCTCTCCAGGAACCCGAGCTTCGGCCGGGGGGACAACCCGCCCCCCGCCCCGCAGCGGGTGGACTCCATCCAGGCGGCGCACGGCGCGCAGGCGGCGGCGGGCCCGGCGGGGACTGTGTCCAGGCAGCCCAGCCTCAACGCCTACAGCTCGCTGACCAGGTCGGGGCTGAAGCGCACCCCGTCGCTAAAGCCGGACGTACCGCCCAAACCTTCCTTCGCCCCCCTTTCCACATCCATGAAGCCCAACGATGCGTGTACATAATCCCAGGGGGGATGGTCAGGTGTCTGTGGAGCCGGCAGGAAAGGCGAGGCGTGCGGTGTCCGCGGCCTGAGCGCAACCAACCGGACCAAGGAGGCCCGCAGCGCCCGGACGCTGGGCCTCTGGGACTCGGGGGAGGGAGGACTCACTCACCAAGTGGCCCACAAGGTTTGGTGAAGGTTTGCGACGCGGGACTCACCTCCATTCTCTTCCTTCCCTTTTCCCCCAACCCACTCCCCGCTACAGGTCGTTCTCACGAAAAGACTTCAATGATCATCACAAACATGAGCCAAAAGCACATACCCACCCATGCCCACACGTGTGCACATGTGCGCACACGGACACAGAGAGAAAGACACGCGCACGGACACAAACACTCACACACACAGAGAGACACTCACACAGTCACACAGAGGTGGACAGCAATTGCAGGATTTTGTCTGTGACTGCACGGGGCTCTGCCTACATAGGCTTAGCGTCCCAACTTGCAAAATACAAATAGATTTTTTAAGTCATGCAACTTAAAAAGACAAAGGAATTCATTGATAATTCTAACTCAGACTCTTAACCATGGCAGAAGTTTACTATGCGCAGATACTGTGAAATGCCCACCAGTGTTACAGCTTTCTGTTCTAAGCAGGTTAATGCCACGTTGGGCAACTATGTCATAGAGTTCTGCTCCTCTCTCTCTTTTAATGAAATAACGTGACCGTTAACGCAAGTAACTTTATTTATTGTTCACCCTTTGTTTTTTCCTTAAGGAATGGACTCCTCCACACAGCACCCCATATGGACAGCTCTTCAGAAAGTCCCCTTGACGTGACACTATTTAACGTGAAATCCATTAACTGGAATAATTGAGTTTCTTTATTTTTACAATAAATTCACTGAGTAAATAAGTTGGAGCTGGAATCTGAGCTTTGTGTTTGGACTGTCTGATCTCTAGCTAAAGGAGAACGTTCAGAAGGGGAGTATTTATTTAAACCTACCAGTAAACTTGCTGGTGAGATCTCTGTGCTATATAACATGCAAAAAAAAAAAAAAAAAAAAAAAAGTAATTGGTGTAAAAGTCCTTCCAGATCCTGACTTCTAAAGCAACCGGGAGAGGAACATCTGAAATGGCACAGCCAGGCCTCATTGCTGCCAATGCGGCTTTGGTCAGTGGTTCCTACTCTCTTGCGAAGGCACCAGCTTGTGATATGCCATCTCATTCCGCCTTGCATGTGAGACCGCAAACAAAATCCACCAACGGTGTGAGCTAATCACTACGCTGGCTGCTACCTTGCATAAATTAATGGTTTGGTCACACAGGTTTTTCGTGGGGTGACATCTGTGAATAGCCTGTTTTCCACATGTAAATGTGTGCCTTACACCCTGAGTTCTGTACACTTGTAAAAACTGTCATTTATGATAAACTTTTCCCTCCTTCTGAAATACGGATATTTATTTCACCCTTACCTCACCCCACTCCAGTGCCCTGGAGGATTTAGCTGTCCAGCAGATAGAAGAAGAATGCAGTGGTGATGCTTAGAATCTCACAGCCTGGGAAAGCTGGGCGCACAATACCCTCTAGTCGTGCCAACTCCGATCACCCTTTGGCCATGTTGATTAAACATGGACCCTAGTGTTGTGGGTGGCAAATCCCTTCTCTCCCTTTAGAGCTCCCTGCTTCCCTTAGATTCTCAGATCATTTCAACATGGTAATACCCTCATTTGCCAGCAGCAAACGGACTAAAGTCCCAGTCCTTACTTCTGCCAGGTCCACTGGCTGGAGAGCACGCCGTGTGTGGTTGGGCAGGCATCTGGGAGGAGTCTCCAAGCCCTGTGCTCCCTGCGTGCAGGCAATGCACATAAAGAAAGAACGTGGAAATAGAGGCAGGCAGGCTGGTTCCTGCTTTGATTAATGAGTAACTCCCAAGTACAAGGCCAACTACAATGGATGCTGCAAAAACCTTGACGGGGGCAAAAGATTTTAAGTTTCTTTTTTGTTGTTATGGTTTGTAGGGGGGTGGGTGGGTGTTGTTCCCCTTGGTTTTCATTTGCGCAAGCGCACCGAAGGGACTTTTGTTGACCGTGGACAAAAGACTTGTCAACATACTGTAAACTGTGAGCATTTCTGGTTATTGTTTTTTTTAAACAGTTAAACATATTTGGTGGTCTCTTTGTCCTTTTATTTCCAGTTTGATCTGGGGTTAGTTTGGTCTTTAAAGGAAAGCTTTCTAAATTTGGGGCAATTTCTAGTTGGCAGGAAAAACTTGATGCCTCCATAATCAGAAAGAGACTTAGGTGTGTGGTAAAGTTGCCCGCACAACCTTTTGTCCCAGACACCTCTTCCCGTTTCGCTGTTGTTTGGGGTAAGCCTTGTTGGTTTTGTGAACTTATATTTTTGTTTGTTAACTGAGGTCAGTGTTCACATTCTGTGAACTCTGCCCTGAAACCATGAAGTGTTTTTTTAGATAGAAACCAAGATGCTGGTTTACCCTTTGGATTTTCTTTAGAGATGCGAAGTTTAGGAAAGCGATGGGTGTGTGTTACCCTGCTCCCTTCTTCCCCAAGCTCACTCCCAAGAGTATTGATGGGGCCGTGCCCACCATCTCATCCCCATGTGTGGACGTCCTTGCCTCGGCTGTGTTATGGAGACCTGTGTCAAAATCCCAACCCACAGCCCTACTCCCCACAATTCATCACGTGCAGTGTTGACCCTAGAATGCCTACGTGTATTAAGCTGGTCTTCTGCATTTGAGTATTTTTCCGCCTTTTCTTTTTCCCCCCACCCTGTGTGGGGGGGAGGGTCCATAAACCTGAGTGTGCCTTTGCTTTCCACCCTTGCTAGACACTGGTAGATGCAACAAACTCAGATTTCTATTTGTTGTAAAGTTGTAAAAATATTGTGACATCATCAACTTTCCTTCCATCTCCACATCCCTTAACATCTGATTCACAACTTAATGTATGTTGTAAAAAAGAAAAGAAAAAAAAGGGGGGAGGGGGACACAAAATAGCAAGCAAAAAGGCTCTTTATTACTTAAAAGTAATAAAACAAGACTGTTCATTATCCTCTGTGTCCTGAATGCTTTTATTTATCTCTTAATTTTTCCCCTTTTTAAATGTCACACTTTTGGGGGAGCAGTTCATTCTTTCCTTCAGCTATGTTTGGCTTCCAATGCATGAATAACAGTGTAGTTAGAACCATGTGTTTGTAGTACCCGTACCCTTCCCCCTTCCAGAAAAAAATTGTTGTTGATGTGTTTTCTCTGCCTGCGTCCAGCCTGGAGCAGGACTGCACAGAAGCCACTGGTAATTAAAAAGCAGAGCACGCATCGACTCCTCCTATTCATTTTATGCATTTTCTTTTTATGGGCTTGTTCATCATCAAACATTTATGGTAGGCTTGATAGTTTAAGAGATCAAAGCTAGGATTTTAGTATGAACCGTCCACTAAAAATAGATCCTTGCACAGATGTGACTTCAGCCTTTTTACATATTAATAAGGTAGAAGGTGCTGGATTTCACTCCTTGTTGGCATTTATCTCCTTTAACCCAGAAGACACTGCTGGGGGTAAACTGGGGTGCAACACCTGATTTTTACTTTGCAAAATAGCATTATGAAATGCCCAGGTCAGGTGTTCACCTCTGGGATAGTTTTTAAAGTTATTTAAATAAGGCCTCAGCTACAATAGTTTTGACTTTCTGAACTCATTTCTTTTAATGTTTTAGGTCAGTTTAAATGTGAAAAGCTCTGGGTTTGAGCCTCAGTTCACACCTGTAGTAATTTAGTTACCTTTGATAAGTCATTTCCAATTGACTTTCTGAAATCCCACCCATCGGGCCAGGCACTGTTAGGCACAATATTGACTAGGATATGGTTCCATCTTCCTCTTTATAAGGACAGACTGAGGTGCCCCTGTAATTACCTTTGAGAGGAAGTGGTCCAGAAGTTTGGGCCATGAGGCTGCAGGTGAGCTGGTTCTGACAGAATGAGTCCTCTGGACAGCTAGCCCAGGTAGAAGGGATCACATGTGCAAAAGCACCAAGTGTGCTGTGCTTGCTTTGAGCAGGGCCTGAGAGTGCCTGGCTGGGGCAAGGCTGGAAAAGGGTCGTGCCAAGACCAGAAGGGGCCTGGTTACCCTGTGCTAGGATTTTGGCTGATGGGCACTATCTGGGGTATACGAAGCAGCAAACACATGTGTTTGTGCTTTAGAAAGCTACCTGGCAGCAACGTGAAAAGTGGATTGGTCCCTGGAGAGACTGCAGGCTGCTGAGTGACATGCCAACAGCATGCCAAGCTATTTGGAGGACACAATTGAAAACTCCCCATCCAACATAAGATTCTTTAGGAAACAGCTCTGTGGTTATCCTCTTTTGCCAGAAAGATCTTGTCCCTAAAACTGACAGGTTTGTCCTATCTACTTACACCCAAATGTAAAACAGAATGATCAACAGTTACTCTCATCCATTCTTTAAAAAAAAAAAAAAATGAGGAAGCTGCCTGTGAACCAGGAGGTCATGGTTCGGTTCCAGGCCAGGACACATGCCTAGTAGCCAGCTCGATCCCCAGTAGAAAGTGCAGGAGGCAGCTGATCAATGATTCATATCATTGATGTTTCTCTTTCTCCCTTCCTCTCTGAAATCTATGAAAATAAATAAAACATGAGGAAGCTGAGGTCCTCTGAGGGAAGGGATGTGCCCACAATCCTAAAGCTGGTGGGAGAACAGCTCTTCTGAAGACTATCCATCTGTCTCTTATTCTTCTCCCACACCCACCCCATTCAATCACATCCTTTGAGCAGTACTAGCTGGGAAGCTGAGACTCCCTCAGCCCAGACAGCTTCTCCATCTCACTCTCATTCATCCTTTCTCACAGGAAGTCCTTCCTCACGGCCTCACCACCTCCCACTTTCAGGCATCCCAAATTCCTTCCTCTGGGCCGAGGGGAGGGTGGGCTGGAGCTCAGATCACACTGGCTGGAAGCAGACAGTCCCTGACGTGCAACCTGATACGTG